CTATCTATCTATCTATCTATCTATCTATCTATCTATCTATCTATACATACATACATACATACATACATACATACATACATACATGGATTGAAATGTTTAATAACTACTTGGATTAGCAATGGGAAACTATTTCTGGAGTTGAATATGCTACACTGTAAGTATCGTATACTCTATGGATGATTAATATTAGCGGTAACGTGAACTCATAACGCTCAATGATAATGATGCATTTAGTTAGTTTGATGGATAACCAGTGATCTTATTTTTAATTGTAAAAACTGAGGCACAAAAGTTTGTAACCAAACGACATGCTTGACGAAATTGAGGAAAGTTTTTTGCATGTGTTGTTAGTTTTAAAAATAAAAATAAAATTTTTTTTAAAAAGAACATGGGGTTTTAATACATTATAATGGTTGATTGGTAAGGTCCTTATGTAATCTGTCTCATGTGTAACTTGCACAAAATCTTTCTTCCTGTGCCATTCAAGTTGGTAAGAGGTGGACAGTTGGGTGGGTGGGCAAGAAAGAGTTCAGCAGTGGGATGTCAAGGTGGAAAGTATAATAGAGATAGAATCCTAGACTTGATTCTTTCTTTGAGGCATATGATTTATAGCCCACCTTCTATTATTCAGAGGGCATACATGGCTCCTCCTTCTCTCATTTCCCCCTGTAAGAACAACTTGGTGAGCTGAGGTGGGCTGGGCTGAAAAAAAAGGGTAGGCCTAAGTCCTTCAAGCAATTCCTTTGGCTGTGGAGGCTCTTGAAGGTGGGTTCTCCAGCATCTTCTCCACTGGGCCACCTGGCTTTGAGCTGAGAGACGGACTGGCCCAATGTCTGAGATGGGACTAGAACCTGGATATCCTTGTTCTTGGTCCAGGACCTTTACCACTGGACCAAAATGGCTGCTGGGATGAGGAGAGAGGGATTGACCCTAAGTCTTCCAGGGGTCTTCCATATCTGAAGGGAAGCTAGAACTCAGTCCCAGTCCTACCTCTTGAGGTTCTACCTGTTAGCACATCACAGATGACTGGAGAGAGGGATGAACTTGGCCTCCTCTCAGCCAAACAATTGACCATGTCCTTAAGGAGAAACATCTCCAGATGTTTCAAGTGGTCTCCTGCAGAAACCTTTTGGGATTAGATGGGTGGCCCCAAAAGGCAGGAGCTACAACTGGAAGAGATGCCAAAAAGGCATTAAGTGTTGTTAACCTAATTTTGTAAAGCTTCTTCTCTGGTAACATTTGATTGTTAATTAGGGCATACAAAACCTTTGCCAGACCAATTCTCGAATACAGTTCGTCTGCCTGAAATCCACACTGTATATCGGACATTAATACGATTGAGCGGGTCCAGAGGTATTTCACGAGAAGAGTCCCTCACTCCTCTGCTCACAATAGAATTCCCCATGCTACCAGGCTCTAAATTTTGGGCTTGGACAACCTGGAACTACACTTCCTGTGGTATGATCTAAGTACAGTACACAAAATTGTCTGCTACAACGTCTTACCTGTCAATGACTACTTCAGCTTCAGCCTCAACAATACACGGGCAAACAATCGAAACAAACTCAAGGTAAACTTCAAACTCGATTGCAGAAAATATGGGGAATTCTATTGTGAGCAGAGGAGTGGAGGACTCTTCTCGTGAAATACCTCTGGACTCGCTCAATCGTATTAATGTCTGATATACAGTGTGGATTCCAGGCAGATGAACTGTATTCGAGAATTGGTCTGGCAAAGGTTTTGTATGCCCTAGTTAGCAGTACAATGATACCGGAGAAGAAGCTTTGTAAAGTTAGGTTAACAACTCTTAATGCCTTTTTGGCAATGCAGTTACAGTGAGCTCTACAGCTTAGGTCATTTGAGATGAGTACTCCCAGGTCCTTGACAGAGTGAGGGTCATCTACGAGGTCATTTCCATGCAACTTGTATTTGGTGTTCTGATTTTTATTGCCAATGTGTAGGAAAGAGCATGCAGGTGGAGGCTGGAATGTGTTGTTTTTCTGGCTACTGCCCTGTTCATTAACATTCAGAAACCCAAATGGTAACAGGTTCTTGAATGCCATGGCAATCAAGCTGAGCAATTCATCAAAATTGTTGAGGAATGAAGGGAGTTACTTAGTGCGTGCTGGTATTTTCTTTTTTGGGATGGACCTATTTTGAGGTTCTTGCAAATCACCAGGAATCATTATGAACTTTAAGCAAGCAAGCGGCAAAATAAATGATATATTTTA